TTTTTTTTTTAAATAAAGATTAAATGGAACAAAGGAAATAATCTACTGGACGTTAAGGAACGATCTTGTTAATACTTGATTGTGAACAAAATATCAACAAAATTTAATATTTGGTAAAAATCCCCTTATTTTCAATAACTTCTCTGCATCGTCGAAGACATGATCTAATTAATTTCTTGCAAAAATCAGCAGTAATTCCCTCCCATCCTGGTTTTTCGGGTTTCTTTTCTGAGCCCTTTCTCCAATTATCTTCCAAACATTTTCTGTTGGATTCAGGTCGGGGCTCTGGGCTGGCCACTTCATTAGGGCGATTCCTTCTTCTTCATATAAAGCCATAACCTTCTGAGCCTTGTGGCAAGGTGCATTGTCCTGCATGAAAATAGGAGATTCATAAAGATTATGGTGTAATCATGGTACCACATGCTGCTGAAGAAGCCTTTTGCAAATCTCAGCATTGATATTGCCATGTACGCAGATGATAGGGCCAACTCCTGCAGATTAAATCATTCCCCGCACCATCACACTGCTGCGGTTTTCTTGACACATTGAGTAGACAGTCTTTAAGTTTTGCCCTCAGAACCAAATATAGTAAGCTTGGACTCGTCACTGAAATGAACTCTATCCCATTGTGCGTCAGTCCAAACAACATGTTCTCTCGCATACTCCAGGCGTGCCCTTTGGTTTCGCTTCGAAATGAGAGGCTTCGAAGCTGGAATACGGGCATACAATCCTGCATTTTTTAACCTGCGAGCAACCGTTTTCCTTGAGATCTTATTATCTGTCTCTTCATTAAATTTACGGGCAATTGATGTAGCAATTTCAAAACGGTTTTTTGTTGATATTCTAACAATTCTTCGATCTTCTCTTTTCGATGTTTTTGGAGGCCTGTCGGTTTTTGGTTTTGCATCTAACGTTTTATCAGTTTTATACCTGCTAATTACACGATGAACGACACTTTTAGACCTATGAACAATATCAGAAATTTCTGAAATTAACTTTTTTCTTGATAGCGATAATGAGTTTTTTCTTCAAAAAAGAGCGTTTTGCGTGTAGAATTTGCCATATTGCTTAAAAATAAAGCCCTAATGATAAATGAACTTTTACTTATTGTTGAAAAGCTCCATCGAGTTTTTTAACAATGTAAATTAAAAGTTTATGCAAATTATTAATATTGTTCCTTAACTTTTTTCCAGTAGCTTATTTCCTTTGTTCCATTTAATCTTTATTTAAAAAAAAAACTATCATGTAAATTTTTGTAACTTTGTATAATATTTATGCATTACACCCTCATCTTTATTCGGGAAAAATTTCATTGCTAATCATGCATTACTTTTAAGTAATACATATTTATGTCTTTGCTGTTTCCGTTCCTTATATTATGGCCGCTGTGTATATATATATATATATATATATATATATATATATATATATATATATATATATATATATATATATATCATTGTATATATATATATATATATATATATATATATATATATATATATATATATATATATATATATATATATATATATATATATATATATATATATATATATATATATATATATTATATATATATATATATATATATATATATATATATATCATTGTATATATATATATATATATATATATATATATATATATATATATATATATATATATATATATATATATATATATATATATATAATTGTGTATACATCAATCCCTTTTTTATGTTTCATGAAAAACGATTGATATGGTTAAGTTTTTATTTAATTTTTCTTGTGTTCTTATTATTTTCTTCTTTTCTGAGCATAAATTATGTAGAAATTGTCCGAATGTTTCGTATGTCTGAGGATGATTTTATTTTTACTTTAAAATTAATATATGGATCATTTTATCTACGTATCTACTGTTGTAGGTATGACCATGTTTGTAAAATAAAGCACCCATATAACTTTAAATGCATGCATAAAATAATCCATAAATTCAGTTAAAACTAAAAATAATATCATCCTTGGTAATGGCTAAATGTATAGCCGAAAGCACTCGGATATGCAGAACATTCGGATAATTTCTAGATAATTTATGTACAGAAAAGACTAAAATGATAAGAATACAAGAAAAGTTAAGTAAAAAAAATAATGGCACTCTCCTGTCAGTCGTTTTTAATATATATATATGTGTGTGTGTGTATGTGTTCGGATATGAAACGTTAGTGGATATGGGCTTAGAAAGATCCCAACGAGGGATGTAAATTTTTTTAAAAGGTTAATTGAGCCTTGCTTTGCTGTGAAGTCCTTTGTGACTGAGCGGTTAAAGCTCGTTTAGCTTCAAGATGATGTTGTTTTCTCAACGATAAAGAGAGCGCACAGATTTTATTCCTAAAGAAAGGAATCTCATTTCCATGGGGAAATTGAAATCAAATAAGCAACAGAAAGCATGGACGATTTTTAAACCGACAGGTGTCATTTTAAAATAGATAAGTTAGACTGATAGAGCCAAGGCTGGATGGCAAATGATGGAAACGGCTTTCACTGATTAAGGCGTTTACAAGACGGCGATGGTTTGTGGATTTGAGTTATGAGCTCATGGAAAAATCCAGAGAGTATTAAGAAAAGAACTATGATATACATTGATTTTTCGAAGACACTTCAGATTTCAGAAACATGTTCTTTATGTAAAGCATGTTCTGTCTTATTCGGCCAACAACAATATCTAAGAAAGATCTGAAAAATGAGTTTCAAAGACACTCGTTTGATGAAGTAACTTGTTTGTTTGTTTGCTCGACTTGTGAAGCATCCTGAAGAGAAAGGTTTACATTGGTGGGAGTTAAATTACCAGAAAAAAATGAGCTTTGAAATAATATTCTGCTTATTGTGAGAATAAATGCAGCTATTCACAAAATGAATGAATGAATGAACGACTTCTAAAAGCAGTTTCAAAATCTACAACATCTACTTCAGATTAAAGTTGTTTTTATAACTTTGTCATTACAATAACATTGTTTTGACTTTTCCAAAATATTTGTCTTTTTAAAGATTTCCCACATTCCTTCATTAAAATATATAATTACAAAATGTTTTATGCAATTTTCTTAGCCTGAAAAGTAAAGTGGTCAATAATATGAGACCAAATTACTTTCCACATAAAAATCTTAGAAAATGTAAACAAAATATTGTTTTGATTACAAGAAATCAATCATAAAAAGAAGATATAGTACATGTGACCAAAACAGATAAAAAATCCTACATTTTTGTTAATATATATGTTTTTTTTCCTTCTTCGGAGTAATTTTCCTGTTTGTTGCGTTTTGACCACAACTGTCACCCAACGAAGTTCGGAGAATACTCAGCCGAAAAGATATGCAACAATGATTGCTTAAAACACCTCGTCGAGTCAAATGCAGTAAATATTCTAAATTTTTATTAAAGGTAAAACGATATTTAATTTCTTTGTATTCAATTTTGTGATATCAGTTTTCATCTCCTTGTGTTTGCAGAAATCTTTCACATAGTTTTGATAATTGTTCGTAATAAAATGGTAACGATATCTCAACAAAAATATAATAGTCAAAGACTTTTGGTTGGAACAGAGAACAGAGGAATTTTAAAGAGAACTTATTGTGAGGGAATGAATGGAAACAACAATGATGTAGATACATTTTTTTAACTATTTATGTAAACATCTGCAATAATAAAGATTAATTCTTGAAAATAAACAAGCTATATTGTTTCTTAAAGGAGTCAGACATACACAGGGCGCGATGGATAAATTGTCGTCTGAATTACGCAAAAATGGAAATAATATTAATATTCATTTTAACAGATATATTTACCAAAATTACACAAAAATATCTTGAAATGCTAAAGAGGTAAGTTATTCAATAAAACGCCCATTGGCTTCAATCACGGCCTCCAGACGACTTTGGGATCTCCTACCGGACGGTCTCCTTATTTAAGTTGATGAATGTTGCCATAATACTAACCTTCAGTTCATCTTTGGTGTTACAAGCAGTTTTGTTGGTCTCTCGCTCAACTGAGCTCCACACATAATAATCTAGGCGTTACAAGTCTGGGGAGTCCGGTGGCCAGATGTAAGTTGTATTGTGGTTGCAGAAATTGTCTGAGAGCCATGACTGGATTCTCCTGCTTGTGTGACGTAGTGTAGAGTCCTGTTTCCAAACATAGTGTCTTTCAGCAGCCGTCCTCTTAAGCCAGGGCAGCAATACCTCTTCAAGGTACTTGATGTAGGCCTTCGTGTTGAATCTGAGGACTTCACCAACAAATTCCTGAGTTCTTTTCTTATTAGAACGATTAGATTGAGTTTTCCGAGCTGCCGTACCTTCGTAATCACCATCAGACTCATCCGAATCCTCTACACTGTCCTCAAATTGACACACAAACACACTGAAATGCCCGCATTGGGGCTTCCAGGGAGAATGCCAAGCAGTACAACATGCAGTTTTCAAATTTCTGGCGGACTGAATTACGTCATGGTGCATTTTTTTTTCTCACAGGCGGTGCCCAACTGACCCTACTATATTGTGCAGTCGACAAAATCAAAAACAAACAACGTATATGCGCGAATTTAAAAATATGAAATGGCGACAATTTACCCATCGTACCCTGTATTTATTCTTGCGTGTCGATTGATATTTTCTGATAATAGTAACGATATCCATAGCCTCTCTTGGCATAAGTTCGACAGGTTTGAATTATTTGAATTTTTTGCCTTTATCCGTAATTAGTCGAGGTTTATGTGGTAAGAGCATTGGTTTTGTTCACTTAGAGAAAAGCAGCAAGTCATCATCTGCAGGAAATGTTTTCTTTGTTTTTAATGAACATTCAATTATAAAAGAGAATATCAGAAATAGGGTAAGAATTTTGCTTGAAAGAAATAAAACGGTAAAAGAGAAAAATAACAAGTTTTGAATAAGAAAACAAAAGGAATGATAATCTTGGAGAAAGAAAAAGGGAAAGAAAAATGAAGACCGTTATGGATGAAACGAATCAACCAAAAAGAAGTGAAATATTAAAGATAGAAAAGAGTAAAAAGGAAAAAGAAAGAAAAAGAAGCCAAACAGAAAAACAACAGAAAGGAATGAAAGAGAAAAAGAAATAAACTAATGAAAAATGAAAAAAGAATGAAAACCCGATAAGGAAACAAAGAAAAATAAAAGAATTACGGTAAAAGCTTGAAAGAAGAGAATGAAGGATAAAAGGAATTAAACAGAAAGAAGGCCAAAAAATATGGCGAATCTTTTATTGAAGTCAGACGTCATTTTTGGCATAAATCTGATAGAAGCAAGAAAAATCTTAGCTAACTAAAATGGCGGATAATTTTTATTCAGCACAGATGACAAAACAAAACCTTATGTTGCGCACATGTGAGTACGTGTGCGTCTAATCAAAAGGTGCGTATGTCGAAGTATGTGCGTGTTCGAATACCTGAGTTCACGTGTGTGTCTGTATGTGTGTGTGTGGGGGGGGCTATTTGTCTTTCGAAATGCGCGTGAACCACAAAATCCTTGATGCATTTTTTTTTTATCTACCATTTCTGTCACATAATTATTATTACCTATAGATGCAGTTAATATGTGTAAATGCGATTGACTTTTCCTCGCATTGGTGTCTGTGTTTATAGTTACTGACGGAAATTATCTTAGTTTGGCATAAGGCCATAATCATAGAACACTCGAAATACACAAGCAAACTCGGCTGCGATACAAACTTGTGAACTGTTGTAAAGATATCTATAAAGTTTAACTTAATCTAGCAGAAAGGGACAAATGAGAATTAGGTAAATTAAAGTTAAGCCAATACGAGGCTTAAGAGCCAGTCAAGGTAAAGGATTACAATCGAAATGATAATGATGAATGAGGTGTGGGATATGAATGAAAGACGAGATGAAGATAAGAAGGTTGGATAACGATTGGCCTTTGACAAGATTAAATTTATAACGTTCAAGAGTCAAAATGGTATCTATATATCTAGATAGCTGAGTTTGATCATATCTATCTGTTATCTACCTCTCTCTCTCTCTGTCTCCCCTCTCTCTCTCTCTCTCTCTACATATATATATATATATATATATATATATATATATATATATACAAACAATTATAAAAAAAAAAATGTTATAAACCACTACATAAATGCAATCAGGTTTCAGCATTGTATGTGATTCTTCAGCCGGTGGTGGTCAACTGGAGAATAAACGATCATTTTAAGGTTTAAATGCAGCAATACCCTTACAGAGAAGCTGGAAGGGAAAAAAGCCTAAATTTCTAACAGGCTAACTACTAGCATATTAGAAATGCTCTCTCTCTCTCTTTCTCTCTCTCTCTCTTTCTCTCTCTCTCTCTCTCTTATGGCGTTTCAAATGTAAACAAATGACTTCACACATTTACAACATTTACCAGCCTGAGGACGAATATTTTCTGTGAAAATTTCTCGGACATTCAGGGCGGTAAATGTTGTTTAATACTGTTTATTATAAACAGAGCATTTACTTAAATATTTGTATCTATAAAAAGAATGTAAAAACATAAAAATATCTTAAAATATATATGTGTGTGTGTGTGCTTATTTATTTATGTAGAAATTATGAAATTCAGCCAAGTTCTATTTTTCCAAATTTCAAACACGATGTTGCCTATCGGGATGGAAATTGGGGACATTTTGTGCTTTTGCTGTAGCAGAAATGTAATTTGGTCTTTGTTCGTACTTGTCAAAGATAGTGAAAAATTTTAGGATATCGTCCATTTTTTTTAATCGAGCGTGGATTCCGGATCTTGTGACTGGTTAGTGTAATTTCTCTTTCTATAAGAGAGCGTCGAAAATTTGTGGTTTTTCTTCTTTTTTGTACAGGCGCGTAAATTAAATAAAGGTATATTTCGATAGCAAGTTGTAAAAGCAATAACAAATTAAACATTGTTTGGATGCATGCACAAACACACACACACACATATATATATATATATATATATATATATATATATATATATATATATATATATATATATATATATATATAAAATGTGGTACTCAACATGCAGTAGAACAAATCGGTACCTGAGGAAAATGGGAAGAAAAAAGAAAGAACCAAGCACATTAAAACAAGGCGAAAATAATCGTCCAGTGTTTAATCTCCGACTCCAAAGAAAAAAAACCCCAAAACGAGTAAAAAGACAACTACGTAAAGTGCTCAGTACACTAAGTAGAGCAAAACCTAAGATGGAAAGGAGCCAGGCAAACACACACACACATATATATATATATATATATATATATATATAGGGGTACCTCCCTTCCAAAAAGGCGATACCTAAGGTATAAAATGCAATTGAAAATGAAAAACTTTTCTTGAAACATTTATTTTAGTTTTGATTCCAAGCTAAGCGATTAAATTTAATATTTCCAATAAGCAAAAAACTTTATTGTATTTAAAACCGACTTTAAATTGATTCGAATGATTCTTTTCTGAGTATCAGTAAAATTGCTAAAATCGTCCATATTGACAAATTTGTCAACACAAAATAATTCCCTTTTCTAAAAAAAATCTTTCAAAAATATAAGATACTTTTCTGAAACTTTATTCAAGAAAATTGAGTTCAAGTTTAATGAATCTGAATTAAAACAAATATTTCTTATTTTTAGTTTATTATATCGCAGAAATGCATTTTTTAAGACGGAAGTCAGTGTTCTTTTATCGTCAGCCTGATGTTTGGGAAATTGGAAAGCGGTAAATAATTGCATTACGTGACGAATACAAGGTAAACGCTGCTTTATATATATTTTAAAACCATTTATTTTATTTTCAACACCATCACTTGATAAGACACAGAGTGTGTTGAAACAAAATGGCTATTTTTGTAGTGATTTTATAACATACTTATAAATTTTTTTTTATAAAAATAATTATATATATATATATATATATATTTTAAATACCCTGTAATCTTTATAATTTGAAATTATTTAAGCATTCTAATATTATTGACTTTTTGGTATTTTTATATATATTGTCTTACTTACGAAGATGCTTGTCGAAGAAATGTTAGAAAATTACCAATAAATTTTAAATTTACTATAGTTCCGGCCCCTATTTTCTGATAATGTTATATATGGACATCCGTAATTTACAAAAACCGACACATTTATACACACATGTAAAAATTCGAAATTCTTTTCAAAATACTGGTGGTCACTGAGTTGTAGGAAACCTTTCCATCTATTATAAGTAAATATAGTTTTTATTTAATAACAATATCACTTGATCCCTACAAATTTATACAAAATTTTAAAAGATTTAAAATTTTATAAATTATTCTAATTAAAATTTTTAAAAAAATGAGAACAACTCTTGTAAAAATTCATTATTCATCGAACTTTTTTCATAAGACAATAGTATACATAATATGTTTTATTCATAAAAGCAATTAAAAAATTTTCTAATTTAATAATACCTTAGTTTATTGCATTTTTTTATTTTACAAGGAAATATAGATTTTCTGTAGTTGACCAAAAAAATCATAATTTAAATTCTCCGAGGAAATATACTAATAACTAATATAAAAATTAGGAAAAGAATTTCTCAAAATTTCATAAAATTAAATACTGGGGAAGGTGGTGACAAATGTAAAAAAAACATTTTTACCAAGATTTTCTAAAAAAGAATTTTTTTTAAATAATTTCATTCAGTTCTGAATAAGTGCTGAAAATTTCAGTAATATCATTAAAATTATGTGATTTTTAAAATTTCAGTAACATCATTAGAATTATGTGATTTTTATTTCCAAATGAACATATTTTTCACCGCAAAATTTCCTATACAGATTTGTGGTCCCATGTTGGCAACCGAAAAGTAAGATTTTTAACCAAAATTTCCAACGTTCTAAAAAGGATTTTTAAAAAAAGTAATTTTTACAATGTCACCATAAAACTTTTTTGTTGCGTCTTTAATCACTTGTACCAATTTTTAGCGAATCTCTTTATATATTTATTTTCATTTTATTCCTTAAAATCGCATTTTTCTGTTTAATTCGTAGTTTTTAAAGTTTATTTTTAAATTTATTTTTAAATTGAATATATCTAAACATTTCCGCTAGCGCAGTTTTACCTGCGGTTCATCAGATCGTAAAAGTCAGGACTATAAATATATCAATTTAAACGTTATTTTATTTTTTTTTTATTTTTTTATTTTTATTTTTTTTTTTTTTTGAGTAGACTCTTGGTTTCTTTTAAACAGTGTATTTATTTTCATCTACTGAAAACACTTTTCAACATTGCTTGATCGGCGACGCACTTTGTGGCCTAGTCGGTTTAATAAGATTTCTCGAATATTCAGCCAATTTCGAAAGAAAACACGATCAAAAATTGTTTGTATTCACCCCAATGCAGTTGTGCACAAGGAATATAAAGAAGAAACTGACTTCTCACAAAAGAGAAACATCGAAAAGCTGTTACCCAAGTGAATACATTGAAATTAAGTATTGCTGGTTATATATGGATGGAAAAGCATAGTCATCACCTCCTGTAGACAGAGGACAATATAAGACAACTAACAAAATCGCTGTATATGTTAAGCAGAGACAACTATTTCATTAGACCTAGTAAAGAAATAAATACTATCTTGGAGCCACTGATACGAAGAAAAGGACTCTAAAAACAAATTCCACTACTTGAGTTAGGACACTCATATAATCCTAACATCTGAAAACAGACATTAGGCTTTCGGATCCAGAATCTTCAGTATTAGATTGTCCAAGTTATATTGGCCTCGTGGTTTAAAGCTTTGTTAAAACTATCTGGTAGTAAAGTTCAATTCTTTCTGGGTCTTGTTGTCATGAAAAGTCACACTTTCTGGTTAAAGAATGACGCAAAAGGTACATGAAGAATGTCATTGCGTACAATGGCTGAAATGTTTTGAATATAACGGCTAAGTCAAAGAATTCAAGAGAAAAAAACCTGTTTTTTGATTCAGGCATCATTTGGAAAATTTCTGACGTTCACGTTAAATGATGTTAAATAAAATCGTGTCGCGAGTCGATTGATTAGTGCGATCAGCCATGTTTCAGAATCTTTCCTTTTTCAAAAACTTTTTGTGGCTCTAGAAACGTTACGGCTGACAAGAAACTGTTAACCAGAACTTTGCACACCAGAACTTTCCAAATTTCAACTTTTTCCTTATTTTTAAATCTTAAAAATTCTTCTGGATTGGGAAAAGTGTTTAAATTTAAATCCCATCAAAGTCATTTATATTTGTTCAGAATTCATTTCGAGAAAAAAATTAGAGGTCGTAGATTAGCGAAGATAAAAGTCGTCCATAATTTTCTAAGTTGCTCTACACGTGACATTTTTGTTTGTTGGTTCAGGTTAAAAATGACGATCTCAAAATGTTCTATTTGTAACGGAATAAAGTGACTAAAGAAGTTATTATACATAATTTTGTTTGGCAAAGTCCATTTTTAGCTTTTAATTGCAATTAGACTTCCAGAATGAATATGAAAAGAGGCTGAAAAAGAAGAATAGGAAAAGAGGCTGAAATGGAGCCACAAAACGTTTTCTTTTATCTAATACTTACTTCATAATTTGCCAGTAGGCATAGTTTCGTATCTGCATGTTTCGTTTAAAACTAACGGGAATTTAAGACAGTCATTTTCAAGCGAACGTGAGTCTGTGTTTACCAGTTACCTTGTACGTATGCTTAACCCAAGTCCTATAACCTTCATGTTCGAATGCTCAGGGTGATTTTGAAGAAAATGTTTTGGGTCAAAGGTGCGTAGTCTACAATGGGTAAAGCGGTATAAGTTACATCCCCCAAAATATACGATTTGTAAATAAAAATTGTACGAACATTACCTAAACTTTAAATTATATCGGCTCAAAAAGAGATATGTGAGGGAAAGCACAGACAAAATAAATTAGGCACATTAAATATCTTGGATGATAAATGTAAAATCATTAGTTTTGTTAGTTCTATTTTAGTTGCTTTTTTTTTTTTGAATAAAAAATGGCGGAAAAAAATCGCGCCATCGGTGAAGTTTTGCCATTCACGATCTGAGATCTTAATAGGTAATTTTTGTGTGTGTTTAGAGGATACCATTAGTTCGCCTTTTATTTAATATATTAGTCTTACTAATAATTTACAGTAAGCTTTACTTAAAGGCAAATATTGCATCTTTTTCTACTGCTATTTACATTCGCTACTAATTTCCACAATATTTCTTAGTCTAAATATATTAAATAAAAAAGCGAACTAATAAAAAATTATAATGATATTCATTTAGTTAGATTTGGAGAAAATATTCAGCAGTCCCTTGTATATGATGGATTAGCAATTGTCTATATACATACATAGGTAATAAAAACAAAGGGAAAGCTTATATTTTTGCCTTTATTTATGTTGGCTTTTTACAGATAAATTTTTTACACATAAATAAACTGACGTACATAGATAAGGCATATTTTCTTACACAAACACCTAAGTTTGCATGAAAGACGTTGAAATTATATTGACAAGTCATTCTAAATGTTTTCGTGATATGAGACCGTGTAAAAACATGTCGGTGTGGTTTTCGTTCGCTTTTGCAGCTGCGTCAGTCTTAACGATCGGCTGTTCTTGGTGTGCGATCTGCCACACAGCATGCGACGTCGGCGGCGTCCGTCCGTTGCCTCCCTGCCCCCACCTCTGACACTTTAGCCCCCCGCCTTTTCCCAGTCGGCTTGACATTTCCCCGTCGCACGTGTTCACTTTGGGCACCTGTTCCTTTCTTGACTGCTGGCACGGGCCTTCAAGAAAACGGGGAGTGGGGGGTAGTTTCGGAATGGTGCGTGGTGGGGGTGCAGGGGGCGGAGGAGGCAGGTGACGGGGAGGCGGCAAAGGCGGGTGCCAGGCCCGTTTCTCAAATCCATTCTCCACTCAGGTTTTCAAGATGTGCTTTGCGCGTGCGTCTTGGCCGGCATGTGCGAGATGAACGCCTTTTGCTTTTCTCTCTCTCTCTCTCTCTCTCTCTCTCGTACATCACACATACACACACACACGCACATGTACATATACACACATATTCTCTCTATCCTTTTTTCTTACTTGTCCCTGTATTTCTTTTTCATTCCTTAAATGACCATTATTCTCTTGCAAGCTGCTGAAATTTCCAACTTTTTGATTCCCTTCAATTTTCTACTTTCAACAAATCTACCGTCGGAGAATCTACAAGTTTTATTTACTTTTTTTTCATCAAGCAAAGTAAGAATTTGTTAAAATGTTTTATCATAAATTTTATCACAATTAATTATTCTATTAACAGTCTGGGGTATCAAAAACAGATATTAAAAACAGAGCGAATTTTAAAAGTAATTGACATGAGAAAACATATTTTTGACGGCTTGAAATTTCCACAGAAATTCATATTTTCTGTAAGAAAGCATTTATGTTCTTCAATTTACTCTACATCCAGAGTTAAACAAGAATGTTACAGAAGAAGCGGCAATATTTTTCATTCATGGTAATCCCTCTTTTCAACTAAAGTTTTACTGAAACATTTTTATTGACCTCTTGTCGTAGCGCATTAATCAAGCATTCCAGCGTTCGATCCGCATTGAGTATTCAATGACTGTTCCAGATTTTGTTATAAAAAATAAACATTACTACGTTTAGGATCAACTAAATTTCATTCAGTGATCCTTTCTTCTTAAAGCTATAACTATTGCTGATTATTTTTTTAAAGTGAAGACGTTTTTCAAATAAATTTTGGAGTATTTTTTAAAATTCTATATTCCCATTGAGCACTTAAGGCTTTTTTTAATCATTTCACTCCAAGATACAAGGGGGTTACTGAGTTAGAGAAAAAGAAAATTATTAACAAGAGAGAACAATAAAAGAACATGGATTAAGAAGACAGACGATAACGATTGGCATTGCATTTACTTTTTTGAAAAATCGATGTTGACTGGGAAGCAAGAAGCCGGAAAAGGGTCCCACAAGCGAGAAGTGTAAGAGAAGAAACTGTTAGCATAGAACCTACGGTTACATCTATCCAATTCAACTTTAAAATGAAGAGACATTGTCGCCATTGTACTGCGCTTAAATTCATAAAGTCACGATACCGTAGAGGAAAGTCCATCAGAGCAATTACCATAAAAGTATTTATTAAAAAGACACGGGGAAGGTAATTTACCTCTGTGGCAAAGTCACTGAGATGCCAAGTAAAGACCAATAACATTGCAGATTCTTCTTTGTATTTTATCAAGCATCTCAAAATACATAGCAGAAGCACCAAACCAGATGTGGCAGCAATATTCAGTGCGTGGATAAATGGTAGACTTATAAATGGGTAAGATAAACTCTGGTGTGAAAAATTGTCTAGCACAACTCAGTGAAGTAACTTTCCTAGGAGCTAATCTAGGAACTGATTCAATATAATCTTGTCACTTCATGTCAACGACAAACGTTAAGCCGTGAAGGCGCAACGAGTCACTCTCCTGGAGATTAGCATCAGCCATGCTGATGGAAGCCAAAAAAAAAAAGGGGATTTAAAGAGAGATGTGGATAAAGTAATTTTATGCACGGATATTTCTGTTTCCGCCTCTTTATCTCCCTTCATAATAAAACCTTTTTTTTTACATTTTCTGATGCTCTGTATGTGAATAATAACCCAAAACGACATAACTTGGCGCTAAAAATCTTCCACATTTCCGATATGTTTTCTTACACATCAGTGACACTTGCAATAATTTGAGTTTTTATTTTCGGTAAAACATGGCCATCAGTACTATACCTATTTTACTCTTTATTAAATGAAGAGATGAAAACCTTTATTAAAACCTTAGATTCGTAATTATGTACATCTTAATTTTTCGTTGTTTTTTTTTTCTTTCTTTTTGGCAATTTTTAATCAGGCCGTGACTCTACGGCATATTTATTTCTATGTCTATTTAATACCGTAGTTCGATAGTCCGAGTAAAGATTGCAAGAGAAGGAAAGTAAATTTTATATTAAAAATGAATCTCAATGAATTATAATGGATTGAAGGTTTTGATTTTAACAGGAAAATCGTGTTAAATGCTAATTTCCTATTAATGAAACAAAGATTTTACAAATGAATAAATATATCGTAAGAAGAATTTATTTACATTGGAGGAAATTGTTGAGGTCAAATCAACAAATATAACTACAAAACTGTCAATCGACTGATAATGGAATTGTTAATGAAACATTGTTATTATTGGGTTTCACTTGGAAAAATTTAAATATATAAATCTGCTAGTTTACCATACGATCAAAAATACTAAAGGCCATATTGAATCAATTTTGTAATAGCATTGATTATATGTTCAGCATGAATAACGTAGGTTATATATATATATATATATATATATATATATATATATATATATATATATATGAATCAATTGTTGCATATAACAGTGAAATAGCAACCTGATCTCACCTACTTATTAATGATGACGTTGCTGACTCAATACTTTTTTACTTACTGGTGCCGAATAATGTTCCTGTTGCCATAACAACAATCTTACTAATATGTAAGGGATAAAAAATTGTGTGAACGATAAATATATTATCACACCATGTTTTATAATATAGATAAATATGGCATTTAAGAAGGAGAAATTTACTGCGGCAGAAACTTACAGGCAAAGGAATATTCACAATAAGATAACTCTAATTGTCTAAATTACAAATCGTTTCCATTTTCTACGATTTTATTGCCAAATGGAAGAAAATCATTTGATTGCATTGATGCTATGAGAAAAAGTTTAGATTGAATGATTGATTCGTTTTCTACAGCTTATGAACCCTTTGTAGGTTATTTAAAGACAGAAAATATTTTTATATTGTAAGAATAATTTTTTTTTTTTTTTGGTGCGTTAGAGATAATAATGGCTTATTGATACAAGTCTTACTAATTAACCCACAACTGGGAGAGAAAAGGTAGAGTCATACATTTCTCAAGAGTTTTTGCCCGTAAGTGAATATAACAAAATTGGAACTCTGCTCTCTCATTAACAATTCCGTGCCATTATCCATTACACCACCTGTACATTCAAGTTTACAGCACTTGGTATTACTAAGCGGTTACCAATCGAACGTTGCTTAACTTCGATGATCGTACGGGAGCCGGTGTTTCAACGCGGTGTGGCCGTAAGCTGAAAAAAAAGTTTTTTTTCACGACACAAAAATTTCAGTAAAAACAGGGCGAAAGTATCTTCCATTTACAGAAATCCCTTTTTCTCATTACGTGTTCCAGAAATTCCAACTGTGTTTTTCTATATAAATTCCATTTATAATTGTCCTTTTAGTTTCTATTTTCTTTCAAACTACTTTGTAGCCCACATGCTTCGTCCATGGTATTCTCAGCAATTTTCCGTAGAACTACCCCTCTTTTAAGTTTCCTATTCATCATTATATCAACATTAACTGTCACATAGGAGGTTTGATATTACATAGCAGTTTAGACTTTGGTGAGTTATATAGCTTTATATTTGTTTACACCCAGTGTTCGTACCCGAATAAGAGCAACGATTTTAAAAGCTGATTTTTAAAGCAGGCATACACACTCCATCATGAAAAATACAATCCTCCTATCCTTGCTTTGTACTGGGACAGAAATAAGTAAATAGTTATTTGATATACTTAGAAGAATTTCAAAAATGAAACATCTATAAAGATAACTGTATGAAAAATTATCAATGTATTTTAAGACTAAGCTTGGTCTGGTGCAAGTCCACGAAAATCGAGCATCCGGTTATAGAACTCATTGTATCAACAAACTGACATTCAGGAGTAGCATCTAACTCTTCATGTTTTGTTAGGCGACATAATTATTCCGCTTAACTTTGTCTGAAAACATGGCATTCCCACCAATGAGATTCGAACACATTTCACTAACAATGGTCTGCGAGACTAGCTTACCCACAATTATTCACAAATACTTATCTGAATTGTCGGTATATAAGAAGTAAGTTTAAAAAAAAGGAAAATTTTTGCAACTATTACAGTGTCCAATGATAATTAAGTGGCCAGCAAGAGAAGCCAAATTTAGAACTGGATCTTGGAAAAGTTACAGTGGGAAGTGTCCCTACCTCAAATACCATTAGAAACCATGTCTCTTTTACGTGAGTAAGTATGGCAAGCATTTATATGAAAGTAAAATAAAAAACCGAAAACAGAGCAGATAAAATAGAAGAAAGCGAAGAGGAAGAGCAACCAATCGAAGAATCTTGAAGTGTCGGAGGAAAGTGAATGAACGCCAACCAT